GAAACCTTGTGAAGAATAGAGTCCACCTGGCCTGTCTATGGTTGAGTCCGAAGATAGCTAATGAGAGCCAGTGAGAAACGTACCTTGAGATGTTGAAAAGCCTTCTCTGCAGCCGGCGACCAGGATAAGTGACTTCCCCCCCTTCATAATCATCAAAGTTAGTGGAGCTACGATGGAACTTAAGTCTCCGATGAAGAGTCTGTAAAAGTTAGCAAATCCAAGGAACCGCTGCATCTCTTTGACAGTCATGGGTCGGGGCCAGTTCAAGACAGCTTGCACTTCATGATCATCCATAGCCACTCCCTCTGGGCTGACCACATAACTGCGGAACTTGGTTGAGGTCTGGTGAAAGTCACATTTCTCCGCCTTCGCATATAATTGGTGGGAGATTAGGTGTTGCAGAATGGCTTGGAAATGGCTGTTATGTGTCTCTAAAGAAACAGAGCAAACAAGAATGTCATCAATGCATACAATGATCCATCTGTTGAGCATGCCGTGGAACACATCGTTGATAAATGCCTGGAACACTGAGGGACTGTTGACAAGCCCAAACGGTATAAGGCCGTCTTCCACTCATCCCCCTCCCTGATATGGATCAGATTGTATGCATTGCATAAATCAAGCTTGGTTCGCTCAAGCGAAGTTGCTTGAGTGCCGGTGGTACTAAAGGTAGAGGGTATTGGAATTTGACAGCTATCTCGTCTCACGTCTCTCATGGAGGAGCTAGAAAAGACTTCGCAGACGTTGCGACAACCTGCACCTGAGACAAGCTCAATGCCATTAAAAACAGCACCCCAATCTCCACCGATGGCTCATACCACATCTAGTCCCCGTCTAGCATATCTGGAGAAATTTGATGCCATGCCAGCCAAATGTAAGGGCTTCCTATTTCAATGCTCCTTGTTTGTTTCACAACAACCACTGTTATACCCACTGAGGAGAGCTGCATCTTATTTGTTTGTTACCTATTGGCTGGTAAAGCAACTGCCATTTGGAATTTAAATTGGCCTTCTTTCCCCTCGTTCAATGGCTTTCTGCATCGCTTCCAGGAGGTCACGGAGTGGGCAAACAGATCCTACCCTGTTGCAGCATGGCAGTGGAGTTCGCTTTGACGTTTCCCACATAGGCCACACAGACTGGATGGTCCGATGATCCCTCTTAATTGATTCAGCAGCAAGCAACTTTATTAATGCAAACTTCGTCAAGACTCATGACATCCCACTCATTCCCTGTAAATCTCCTTTGGCAGTGGCAGCGCTAGATGGGAGGCCTCTGGGTATCGGTCAGTTTCAGCACACCACCGACGAAGTCACCCTGTCGACCGGCACCATACACACAGAAATCACCCGCCTATTCTTCAAATAGGCTCCCAACAATCCAGTTGTTCTCGGACATCCCTGGCTACTACTTCATGAACCACAGATCTCCTGGACTGATGGTCAGATCACTCACTGGTCTGCCAAATGTCACACTCACTGTCTTCAGACAGTGGAACCAGCAATCCTTCAAACAGCCACAGTCAAGGTAGACTCTTTAAAACAACACAATAAAACTAGAATAACTTAGGGTGTTAAAAGCGTGGAGTCCGTTAGCACCATACCCTAAAACAGTCCATAAGAAATCCAGTGTGTTGCCAGTCCCAATGTGAGTGTCCACCAGTGTATATACAGTCCAAGAGAAGTGATAATCCAATTTGTTAAGTCTCCGATGAAGAGTCTGTAAAAGTTAGCAAATCCAAGGAACCGCTGCATCTCTTTGACAGTCATGGGTCGGGGCCAGTTCAAGACAGCTTGCACTTCATGATCATCCATAGCCACTCCCTCTGGGCTGACCACATAACTGCGGAACTTGGTTGAGGTCTGGTGAAAGTCACATTTCTCCGCCTTCGCATATAATTGGTGGGAGATTAGGTGTTGCAGAATGGCTTGGAAATGGCTGTTATGTGTCTCTAAAGAAACAGAGCAAACAAGAATGTCATCAATGCATACAATGATCCATCTGTTGAGCATGCCGTGGAACACATCGTTGATAAAGGCCTGGAACACTGAGGGACTGTTGACAAGCCCAAACGGTATAAGGCCGTCTTCCACTCATCCCCCTCCCTGATACGGATCAGATTGTATGCACTGCATAAATCAAGCTTGGTTCGCTCAAGCGAAGTTGCTTGAGTGCCGGTGGTACTAAAGGTAGAGGGTATTGGAATTTGACAGCTATCTCGTCTCACGTCTCTCATGGAGGAGCTAGAAAAGACTTTGCAGACGTTGCGACAACCTGCACCTGAGACAAGCTCAATGCCATTAAAAACAGCACCCCAATCTCCACCGATGGCTCATACCACATCTAGTCCCCGTCTAGCATATCTGGAGAAATTTGATGCCATGCCAGCCAAATGTAAGGGCTTCCTATTTCAATGCTCCTTGTTTGTTTCACAACAACCACTGTTATACCCACTGAGGAGAGCTGCATCTTATTTGTTTGTTACCTATTGGCTGGTAAAGCAACTGCCATTTGGAATTTAAATTGGCCTTCTTTCCCCTCGTTCAATGGCTTTCTGCATCGCTTCCAGGAGGTCACGGAGTGGGCAAACAGATCCTACCCTGTTGCAGCATGGCAGTGGAGTTCGCTTTGACGTTTCCCACATAGGCCACACAGACTGGATGGTCCGATGATCCCTCTTAATTGATTCAGCAGCAAGCAACTTTATTAATGCAAACTTCGTCAAGACTCATGACATCCCACTCATTCCCTGTAAATCTCCTTTGGCAGTGGCAGCGCTAGATGGGAGGCCTCTGGGTATCGGTCAGTTTCAGCACACCACCGACGAAGTCACCCTGTCGACCGGCACCATACACACAGAAATCACCCGCCTATTCTTCAAATAGGCTCCCAACAATCCAGTTGTTCTCGGACATCCCTGGCTACTACTTCATGAACCACAGATCTCCTGGACTGATGGTCAGATCACTCACTGGTCTGCCAAATGTCACACTCACTGTCTTCAGACAGTGGAACCAGCAATCCTTCAAACAGCCACAGTCAAGGTAGACTCTTTAAAACAACACAATAAAACTAGAATAACTTAGGGTGTTAAAAGCGTGGAGTCCGTTAGCACCATACCCTAAAACAGTCCATAAGAAATCCAGTGTGTTGCCAGTCCCAATGTGAGTGTCCACCAGTGTATATACAGTCCAAGAGAAGTGATAATCCAATTTGTTGCAAAGGTGAAATTGGAGAGGTAAATCCACAGTATGGAAACTCTGCAAACCAGACAATTCTCCTGTAGTGACTTCTGTATGTTTGGCATGCTGCTCTCATTATACAGTTCCTGCTTCCTGTCATGTGACTGGTCACATGACAGGCCAACCATATATTTCTTAAAGACATACACACTAAAAATGTTACGAGGAATGAAATTGATTAAGAAAACATGTAAACCAGTTAAAACTCTATTATACATTAAAAAAAATTTAATAAATAGAGTAAAACATCTATCTTGTGTGACAGTCACACGGTACCACACTACCCAAGGGCAGAATCTTTCCTCTCTCCCAACCTGAGTCTGAATCCATGAAAACTTACATTGAAGAGGAACTAGCTAACGGCTTCATCGTCCCGTCTACATCTCCTGCCTCCACCGGGCTCTTTTTTGTAAAAAAGGACAGGGGTCTCTGCCCATGCATTGATTACAGAGGACTAAACAAGCATAAACAGTCCAGGGTCAAACACAGTAATCCAAAAGGGAATGTAGGTAACGCTCAGAAATGCCAGCCGGGGCAAAACAAGACTTTGTGAAGAAAGAGCGTGGGGCTGTGGCTTAAGTAGTCCCGGTAACAAGCTTCAAGTGAGCTCGTAATCAGTGCCAGGTACGGGGTGATGGGAAATGGAGTTTGTGGGGGAAAGTTAGTACTCAGGTGATGGCAACCTCTGGTGATGATTAGGGGGAACCACAGAGGCCGGATTTGTTACATTGCTAAATACGTTGAAAATATTATTCGTTTTTTATCACACATGTATCTTTTTGCTTCGGAAGACATTTATTAATGTGCTGTAATCATTTGGATTACTTTACCATGTAGATTAATGTATAAGAAATAGTGCTGTCAAATAATTAATCATGATTAATCGCATCCAAAATAAGTTTTTGTTTACATAATAAATATACACAGTACACACACACATATATTATGTATATATAAATACACTCAAATACAGTATATATTTTGAAAATATTTACATGTATTTACATGTATAAATTCATATTCATATCATTTATATTATATATAAATATATTTCATAATTTTTCTTAAATATATACATGCATGTGTGTGTATTTATATATAAATAATAAATATGCACAGTACACACACATATTATGTAAACAAAAACTTTTATTTGGGATGTGATTAATCATTTGACGGCACTAATAAGAAGATAAAATGATGGCATTTTCATTTAAAATTTTTCAGCTGTAAAAAAAAAAAAGTCATATACATCTGGGATAGCATGAGAGCGAGTAGATTATGAGAGAATTTTCATTTTTGGGTGAACTATCCCTTTAACTATTTGGACGAGAGATGAAATGTGTCTGTGTCCCAGTAAATTAGCAAAATAACATGAATTTATGCACTGAAATATTTTATTGCTGTTTGTTCATGTGAGACATATTCTCAGAAATTAAGGTTATGATAAGCTCACTAGCCAAAGTGTTTGTGTACTTGTTCTGGTCTTCCCAAGGATAAATATTCTTCACACATTAACCTCTATTTATCGTGATAGAAATGCTTGAAAATTTATACTGTTTGGCAGATCTGGAGCAATTCAACAGTATATAAATGTTCTTTCCTCTTGTTTTTAGATGCCTGTACTCTTACGCTAGATCCAAACACAGTGAACACGCACCTCATACTGTCTGAGAACAACAGAAAGGTGACACGTGTGGAAGAACAGCAGTTGTATCCTGATCATCCAGAAAGATTTGATAATGTTCCTCAGGTTCTGTGTCGAGAGAGTCTGACTGGACGCTGTTACTGGGAGGCTGAATGGAGCAGCTGGGGACATATAGCACTGGTATACAGAGGAATCAACAGAAAAAGAAGAAGTGACTCTTGGTTTGGACTTAATGAACATTACTGGAATCTTTACTGGAATAGCAGCCACAACAGTTATAGTGTCTGGCACAATAATAAGAAAACAGACATATCTGCTCCTTCACCTCCATCTAATAGAGTAGGAGTGTATGTGGATGTGTCGGTCGGCACTCTGTCCTTCTACAGTGTCTCTGACACACACACACTCACACACTTACACACACTCAACACCACATTCACTGAACCCCTTTATGCTGGATTTAAAGTGTATTCCAACTCCTCAGTGTCTCTGTTGGAATAAGCAACAAACACACATTCAACAGCATATAAACTGAACCCCCTTTATGCTGGATTCTACAGTTGTACAGTTGAAATTGTACAACTTTCTGCAAAAAGACTCACATTTATAAACCCACCTTGTCCACACACACAACTGTAAATTCAAACACACAGCTGCCTCAATCTAAAACTTCTGAGCACTGAGAAAAAAGTTTAAAGAGTAATTTAATGTTGGGGTGAAGAACCCAAATGAGACATTTGGTATTCTCCCGGGACCCACATGAACAAAATCAAGCAATATGCTGTATTTACTCTATTCATGAATTTCTCATAAGTAAACACTTATATCACATCTTTTAAATAAGCTTTTAAACATGTCCATAGACACACGCCCTCTCAAATTAAAGATATGCTAAAAACAATCACAGAAATTCAAATGAATTAAATAGAAATTCTAATGACTATTCTTACAATACCATTAATAACCATCAGCTGTTTATATTTAAAACCTTTACAAAATGTCATCATGTAGTGTGTTTTGGGTCTTATTCAAGCCAATATACCAGTGGATACCCACAGTGTCACGAATTCGGTTCATGGACTTCCGTTTATTCACCACCAGATGTCACCCTTTCCTTTACATTGACTCTCGCACTACACAAACTGTTGCATAGCACCCCGGACTACATTTCCCATCATTCTTTGCACAATTTGCATACTGCCCTGATTGCACTCATTGCACACAGCTGTTTCATATCACTCCCTCACTATATAACACCCACTCTAACCACCTTTCTCTGCTGAGTATTGTTTAGCCTGTACCCCTTTCCGAGTCTCCGTGTTTTCCTTGTTTTGCCTTGCCTTGCCTGTTTTTGCGGTTTTTGATCTTTGCCTGTTTTCTTGGATTTCTCCCTCTCGTCTTGCCCCTGTGATTCTGTCTGCCGATCGGTGACCTACGCTAGCCCTAGGACTATTCTTGTGTTTTGCCCGCCATATACCTGTTTGCCATTGTTTGACCCTGCCTGTTATACCACGTCTTTCTATTAAAAGCTTGCAGATGGATCCACACGTCTCACGTCTCGTCAGCCCCGTAACACACAGAGAGCATTATAGTTTCCATTAAAATCAATACAATTCTCATTATGATATTACATATTACATGCTTTAGAATTTTGGTGATAGTTCTGTTGTTACTTTTTCCAAGGATTAATATGATTCATGTTTCCTGTAACATGAACAATGTAATAGTTATGTCATGCAGTAAGACGTACAACCAGGAATGCTTTGTATACAGTTTAAAGGTGTGGCATTTAGTATACTAGGAAATAATGTAGACACTTCAAATATATCAGACTGTACATACTATATTCACTTATTTCTGTTGATATGCACTGTTACATCATTTCTTAACCATCCTATTGACTCACTTTTCTGTGTATGAATGTAAAAAAAACATTATGTGATATCAAATATGATTTGTGATGTTGTGGGACCACATTACATTTGTTGCTTTAAAAAGATTAACATATAACATTTCATCAGGACATTTAATTAAAAATCTATAAAGTGAACTTGCTGGGGATAATTGGTCATTGTGGTAGAGGGGTGACTTAATGTTTAAGTAAAGCTAAGCCCTCAAATATGTTTGTTAGGTTATACTGGTTAATTCTAGCTTAATCTATTCATTATACTGTGATTATTATACATTTTAATGTAAAAAATATATGTTTAGAACTACACGACTGGTGTAAATGCAATACACAATCATTAACCATATAATCATAATTAATTTAATTTATGCGGAGGCACTTGGTCTGTAACAACTTTACTCCACACTTGACAATATTTGAGTTTGTTTTTACAAAACTAAATGTGCATAACACAATTTGAAAAGAACAACAGCAAAAAATGCAAAAACAAATGAATGTCATCTACATTATAAAAAAGTAGGCTGTGTCCTCATGAGCCAAATATTAAATACTTTCTTGTCAGTAAATCTTACGACAAACAGTAAGGCAACCTAAAATAATTCACTAGATTTGCTCATTGATTTTTTCCATTAGCATGGGGCTTGATTGGTTGAGTGAAAAGCAACAATATAATGCACCCATCAATTTTCTTCTGCACTTTTATATTACCATAAATGAGTTACTGTAGTTGTCAATAGTACTGGAAAACAGGAGAAAATATGTTTCAGTATTAGTATGAAAATGAGTGTGTGTGTCTCAGGTGTTTTTCACAGGAGGCTGGTTGTGAAGAATTCTTGCTCTTTACCTTTCAGTGCCGTCCAAGTATTCTCAGTCCTTGAATGGATTGGCCCATGGAAAGAGTCATGAACATGAAGCCAATTGTCTGTTCACAAACTTCTTCAAAGTTTATTATTACATCAGTAGATTATATAGATAGATTTCAAGGGGTGGTACCGTGCTTTTATTCAATAAGAATTATACACTACATCATATATAAATGTAAGGGAGGAAACAAGTACATATAAGGAATAAATCATTTGGAAGGACAAGACAGTAGCCTATAGCAGGGGTTTTCAACCTTTTAGGACATGGGCCCCCCCTAAATGTGTCTAATTTCACTCGCGCCCCCCCAACATCCAACAATGTACATTTGATATTTTCTTCACTGTTTACATTCACTTAAAACAACACTAGTACAAGAATACTAGTCAAGACCGCCATTGAGATGTCTTGGGCTTAAATGGCTTAAAATGACTTTAATGTTTAAACTGACAAGACTTAAAACACGAGAGAATGAAAAACTTTCTCGAGGAAGCAGCACTGGCCTGATCGTTAAGATAGTTTTGGGGGGCTAAGGTGACAGATAGGGGGGCCAAAAAAGGGTTTAGAACCGCCCCTGGTATAGCGTGCGTAATTATACTGAAGCATAAATATATAACCAGTTTACCTGATTCAATGTGATGGCTGAGCCTGTTTCTGAGATAACAACATGCCAATCCGTGGTTGGATTTCCGACACGGCTAATCGTAAATCATCTTACACTGTCAATAAATGTGACCAGGGTTGCCAGGTTTTCACAACAAAACCCACCTAATTGCTACTCAAAACTAGCCCAAAACTACAAAACGCGGCAAGTGTTAAAGTAACCCAATTCCGCGAAAAAAACGCGGACTTGGCAACACTGAGCGTGACTGATACTCGAGCCAACTCTGCTCTATCTGTCGACTAGCAGTAGGAGTCAGATTGCCCCCTAGTGGATGGCTAAAGATGTGTTAATTCATATTCATAAATTCTCAAGGGAACGCCTCTGAATTAACTGATGCTCACTCCCCCCTTGACAGGTGCTGGCGCCCCCCACAGGTTGAAAACCCCTGGCCTATAGGATGTATTTTGAATGTCTGGTAGTCCTCAAATAACATTACAGCTCTGTCTCATCTTGTTAACGAAGACGCGGCATAAATTTCGTCATAGTTTTTATCATCAGATATTAGTTTTAGTTTGTCAATGTCTCGTCTTAGTCACAGAAAAAATGTTCGTTAACGAATATTTTTCGTCGTTGTCTTCGTTGACAAAATTAACACTGCTTCACACAATATCCACCAGGTGGTGCAAGGAACAACATTCTGTAGTTAAAGGGGTGGTTGATTGTGATTTCACTTTTTTAACGTTAGTGTGTAATGTTGCTGTTTGAGCATAAACAATATCTGCAAAGTTTCTACGCTGAAAGTTCAATGCAAACGGAGATATTATCTTGAAAAATTATGGCAGTTTAAATGGGTCCTATTATGCTCTTTTACAAAGTCTTGATTTTGTTTCGGGGGTGTACTAGAACATGCTCTCATGCATGGTGGTTCGAAAAATGCATTATTTTTCACATAATTTACATTATTACAATACCTTTCTCCCCAGCCTGTTACAAATGGCTCGATTAGTTCCAGGTTTGATGAAGGCCCGCCTTCCGAAAAACGAAATGTGTTGTGATTGGTTAGCTGTCCCAGTGTGTTGTGGTTGGCGAACAGTTTAGATGGTGTTTCAGTACTGCCACGCCCCTTGCCAAAGCAGCAAGTTCCGTCTGCTCCGGTGTAGTAAAGGAAGGTGTCAAATTTTTAGGGATGTAAAGGTATGAAAATTTCTTTTCACGGTTACAGTGACCAAAATTATCATGGTTATCAGTATTATTACGGTATTGTTAAAATATTACATTAAAGTACATACAAACAAAAATGAATGAGAAACAGAGCCTACTTTCTTCCATTGCGTATGTTTATCTACGGCGCTGAGACGAGATCTCTAACATCTTCTTTCCTATTGGCTGTCACTCCCGAAAGTCGCGCTTCATTTGCATAAAGTTGAAGGATTCTGAACTTTGTCGCGTCGCTGGACACGCCCCATCAGGTCTCCAATGGCCGCTGTCGCTCGTGTCGCCGGAAATCGCCAGCTCTCCATTGAAATAAATGGGATTGTGTCACTTTGCTGTTGCGTGTCGCTTGTAGTGTGAACGGGGCTTAATGCCTACAAAACCGGCTCATAGGGACTACAGCGAGTTACTTCCTGATAAATCCTGCCCCCGGGAACATGCAACAAAGGGTGCAAGGCCATGTTGTGCTGCTGTAGAGAAGAGAAAGAGTTGTTGCCACGCCATCAAAACTAGAGGTGCACGGAAAAATCTATTCATATATGAATCGCGATTCTGTCTTCTAACGATTCTAATGAATTTACAAGTTTCAAAATCAGTGTTCTAAAGCAGCGGTTCTTAATCCTGTTCCTCGCGTCCCCTGCTCTGCATCTCTCTCTCATTCAGATCATCAGCTCGTCAGCTCCTTCCAATTATACACTTTATGTGTATAGACCGACAGATATTTTTCACATAGCTACGAAAAGCGTTAAACATGGACGCGCATGCGGTTGCCATGCAGTATTACAGCTTTCATCAGAATAAAACTGTATATTAAAAGCTAACATAAGCAGTAGCATTTACAAATAACAGGCAGCGTATCTAAAAGTATGAGACGACGACAAACAAAAAATTATACCATTACCACAGGTTCTGCGCAATCCTCTTCACTAATATTCTCTCCGTCTCAATTGTGCTCAAATTGATAAGCAATATTGACGACATCATTGTTTACAATAAAACAGGAGCACATTCTGAACCGAGGGGCGTGACGCTTAGATGACCACTAGGCAGTTTAGTGAATCACAACACACTGGGCCAGCTAACCAATCTGAGCCCATTGTTTATTTCTGAGGGAGGAGCTTCATAAAACCAGGAAAGCAAGGAAGGGACAGAGCGGTGTATAATGAAGGTAAATTATGTGAAAAATAATGCGTTTTTTTTAGTTTTAGACTGCACCCCATAAACACAATCAAGCCTAGAAAAAAAACAGTCAACCACCCCTTTAAACACCACGGCCAGGGATGTGTGTCCCAAAAGCATTGTTTGACATCATTAACAATGGCCCTATATTGTTGAACTATTGTGGTTCAAACGACAGAGATGCGACCGTGTTATCGAAACAGTCGTGACTAGTTAGTTTGTTTCTACAACAATGCATCGTACTATGGTGGTTAATCAGCGAGTTCAATTCAATTCAATTCAAGCGTATTTGTATAGCGCTCTTCACGATGCAAATCGTTGCAAAGCAGCTGT